GTGTGTGTGTGTGTGTGTGTGTGTGTGTGTGTGTGTGTGTGTGTGTGTAGGGGGGATGACTCACAGTGGAGAGAGGGATTGACTCAGGGTGAGGGTTAGCCTCAGCCTCAGTCTCAGGGTTAGGGTTAGCCTAACTCAGACCACAGTTAAGGTTAGCTTCAGACCCAGACCAAGGTTTAAGGTTAGCCTCAGAATCAGACTCAGATCTGGACGAAGGGCTAGCCTCTGTAGCCCAGGCTGGCTTAGAACTCAACACAGACTCTGTGTCTCGTCCTCCCGAGGGCCTGCCTCCCGAGGGCTCAGGTGTGAGCCGCGGCGCCTAGCTTATACGCTGTTTCAGGGCAGAGTTTTCCTCAGAATACCAAAGTAATGGAAAACTACCAAGAAACAAAGACCCTGAAACAAACAAACTCTAAACATAACTTACAGTAATTTTACTTTCTTGGCTTCAGTGAAAGCAAATTTGTCAATATTTTCAAAGTGGGTATCTTTGAGAGAAAACCTGGCAGTTTCTGTGGACCCATGGATGAGCATGGCTGTGTGCGTGCTGTGCATGTGTGTGCAGGTGCACATGCGTGTGCGCACACATACAGAGGCCAGAACAGGACGTGGGTCCTCTATAGGTGCTCTCGCCATATTTCCTTGAGACAGGGTCTCTTCCTGAGCCAAAGCTTCCCACTTGAGCTAGGCTGGCTGGGAGTGAGCTCTCGGACCTGGCTGCCTCTGCCCCTCAACACTGTGGTTGCAGACATGGCAGCCATGGGTGCTGGAGATTCAGACTCAGGTCCTCATGCTTACAGGGCAAAGGCTCTTACCCACTGTGCCGTCTCCCTACCCCCACTTTGTGATTGAGACAAAGTCTTTTACTGTGGCCTGGGCTCATCAATTAGGCTGTGCTGGCTGGCGGGTGAGCCCCAGGCTCCCATCTCTGCCTCCTGCCGTGGGGTTTCAGGGTGTGACTCTGGCTGACTTTTGTCTGCCTTCTGGGGATTTAAACACAGTCCTCATGCTTGCATGGAAGCGCTTTACAAACAGAAGCGTCTTTCCGGCCCCAAGGGAATAAACAGCATCTGCAAGGTGGAGAGGCGGTGGCCCAGCTTCTAATACAGAAGTGGCTACTGGTGGGGACTGGGGAGGTGGCGTAGGGGCTAAGAGCACTGGTTGCTCTTCCAGAGGACCTGGGTTCTGTTCCCAGCATGCCAGGGTAGCTACCAACTGTCCCTAAGTCTGACTCCAGGGCATCCATGCCCTCTTTTGGTTTCTGCAAGCACTGCATAAACATGGTGTGCAGACATGCAAGCAGGCAAGACACCCATACACATAAAATACAGTTTTAAAGAAGTGGCTACTGCTGCCCAGTCTCCTCAGCCCGTGTCCCCTTTCACCTTGCCCACCCGCACCTCCTTCTAAGCCCCTCCCCAACACCTTCTCTTCTACAAAGTCCTCCGAGGGCCTGTGTGGAAGGCCTTCTACCTCAGAAGACTCAGATCACAGCCCCCAGGCATGAAACAAACACACAGCAGTCTTTACAATAGACACTGCCCTGTGACATTTTGTTGTGCTGTGTTTTGGATTTATTGTTATTGTTGCAAGTGCGGTTAGTGGTGTCGGAGACCAAACCACGTGGCAAGCAAATGCTCTGTTGTTGAGCTACGCACTCCAGCCTGATATTTTATTCATTAAAAATTGTTCTCACCCGCTACACCACCATCTACTAATATTCACACCTTTCTCTGAGGGAGAGAAAAAAAAAGGTTTTATCACCGAGTTCCTTCCTATGTGTTTAGCATATGTGGGAAAGAATAGCAGCTGCCCACTGCAGAACACTTGACAAACTGAATCCTCCCAGCGGCCCTCACCATGGCTGCAAGTCCCAGGCTGCTGTCCAAATACGGGAAACAGGATAGAGGTGGAGTGACTTCCCCTGGCCCCCAAGCAGTCAGCACAGGCAGCTGGGGTCCTCCTGGCTCGCAGGGCCCATGCATGGCAGAGGCGGCCTCACTTACCTCCACTAGTTGGTGCCAGTGCTCCACAGGCTTGCGAGGGTTAGCCAGCATCTCCGCCCAGTGCTCTCTGCCGTGTGGGTCTGCAGCCTCCGGACCCACCCGACACACACCAATCACCTCGTTGTGGCCAATGCTGGGGATTGGGGAGGTGATTACTGGAAAAGTCGGGGAGGTAGACAGCCACACCCCTCAATGCCTTGCCCCACCTTGTCGGGGCCCCTCACCAATCATAGTCCACCACTGCGATGCTGAGTCCCACATTCTCCACACTCTCGGGAGCCACGTCGAACACCAGGGCCTCATTGTATGTGGGGTTCAGCGTGTTCTTCTTAATGGAGGTCTTCCGTTTCTTCAGACGTCGCCCCTCACTGATCAGAGAGGCTTTCACATAGGGGTCTGCGCAGAGAAGCCCTGGGACTGAGCCGAGGCTCCGCCCCCGGGCCCAGGAGTCACATAGTGGTCTGCGCAGGGAAGCCCTGGGACTGAGCAGAGCCTTTGCCCTCGGGCCCCGGGGTCCGGGCCTTAGCCCTCCTGTCTGGCAACCTAACCTTCTCCCTCAGGCCTCAACCCGCACATACCTGAGAAACCAGTGAGGTCCATTGCTTTGAGGTTAGAGGCTTTGATGATGGTCACGGTGAGGCGCCCAGCCGTGGGGAGGTAGCAGAGTGAAAAGTTGAGCTCCCCAAGATCTGCCTTTTCCTGCAGTGGAGACAGAGGCAGCATGTAACCCTCTCTCCATCCCGCCTCTCTCTGCACTATGCTAGGTTCCTATACACTGAACAGTCTGACTCGCGGCCAAGGCCCCACAACTCCCCTGCCACAGCTGGTCACCACCATCAAAGCCTGTTTTGTTCTGTGGAGGAGAGAGTGGGCCACAGGGACCAGGGAAAGGAGAAACAAGAGAAAGACAAACTGAGAGAACGTAGACAGAGGCAGAGAGAAAGACAGAGAAGTGGGTAGAGATTGGAGAGACACAGAAACCCAGAGACAGACAGACTGACCTGGGTGGGGGACAAAGACCAAAATAGAGAAGCAGTTGGAGACTCAGATAGAGATCTAGAGAGAAAGAAGAGCAATCATGGCAGGTGCAAGTCATCAGGGTATCAGGGCGCAGTGTTGGGGACACGGGAGCTGGTGAGACATGATGCCGACTCCAGGGCACAGTGCTAGGGGACACGGGGGCTGGTCAGACACGATGCCGATGCCAGGGTGCAGTGCTAGGGGACACGGGGGCTGGTCAGACACGATGCCAATGATAACAGGTCGGGGATGAAATCAGGTGAGGAGGTTCCGCTGACAGAGAGAACAGCCTGGAGAAAAGCCGTGACAATGGTGAGCAGTCAGAGCAGGGTCTGAGTCAGTGTAGGTCCCGGGGGCTCCGGCCACTGTGTCACTGGGAGGAAAAGGAGCAACTGGCCTCCCTGGAAGCGCCACCCTGCTCTTGTGTGCCTCCTGTGCTCTATGGGAATCTTCACATCCTTGAGCCACGCAGAATGGAGGCTCTGGGCAGGACTGCCCGTCTCTTCTGTATGTGGCCTGCCTCCAGCTACCAACCCCGTCCCCTCTGAGTGCTGGTCATCCTTGGCACTTGCTTCTCTAGATTCTCTGTTTCTCCTCCCTTTTTCTCTGCACTTCCCCACTCTGGGGGGCGTGGGCGGATGAGTGGAGGAGAAAAGACCTTAGCTAAGGAGGCTTGAATGGGTGACATGCCTCAGATGACAGCAGGGTGGATGTGAGTTCCAGGCCCTGGACACTGGGCCCAAAGACAAGCTGATCATGGTGAGCTCTAATGAAGCTGCAGGCACCTGCTTCAACCACAGCCCTGACAGCTGAGGACCCTGGGGCTCAGACCTGCCCTCTCCTGATATGAGGCTATTCTTGTTTCACTCCTCAGACCCTGGCTTCCCCAGACTGACAGGAATTGGGGTTGGGTGCTCAGCCTGAGAACTCAAGGACTGGGGACACTCAGCCAGACCTGGGCATGGCACTGGGGCTGCAGAGGAATGAGAGGTCCCTGGCAGAGGTCATAAAATCAGGGTCAGCGGTGTGGGCTCTTTGATCTGATGCTGGGGAAAGTGGAGGGGACCCAGTACATCAGATATCTGAAGATCCAGGTGTCAGGATTCCCAAGAAACCCCAAAAAGACAGAAGGAAGACTATGAAAGGGTTTGAAGGGAGAAAAAGGAGCTTCAGAGACGGCCTGAGCGCCTGCGAGTCTGGAAATGAGCAAGGAGATGTTAGGGGGAGACGAGGAGAAGACATGGTGGGGGAGGGGAGGATGGGTTACACAGTGACGTCTGGGCCAGGTATGCAGTGTGAAGTCCCAAGATATCTGGGTGGGACTCTAGGCCCAGGGCCCCACAATAGTGCTTCATAAAGTTGGAAGGGCAGAGAGCCCCCTCCGAGTCCCTCTACCACCCTAGTTTCTTTGTCTGCAGTACTCCCTGCGAAGTAATGCTGCTAACACTCAGGGCTGGGAAGTGAAGAGGTGGGAGACCCAGGGTGAGGAGTCAGCAGGGGACCTGAGGGTGCAGAGGGCCCATCGTGGGTGGAGCCACTGACCGAGCCACCTTCCAGGATGTCCCTCCAGAGTGGACGGTCCGGGGGCTGCTCAGCCAGCTCCAGAAGGTTGTCCAAAACCACCTGGCCAATGAGATCATGCCGCGAGAAGCGGTCAAAGTCATAGACGCTGAAATGCAGCTTGCGCTGTGCCAGCTCGGCCAGAGGCACCGAGAACTGGAAAGTCTCGTTGAAGACAGGGTTCAGTGTCTTCCTGTGCACCTGGGTGGAGGCAGAGACAGACAGAATGTCCACTGGTATTGTTCCCAGAATCAGTAAGCCATGTGCTCCATGTCTACCCCATGTGCCCTGCCCCAGCCTCCTCCCTCAGACCCAGGAGACCTCCCCAGGCCTCCTCTTTAAGATGCAGGACACAGACTTCAGCCCTCTTCCCTGAGAGCCACAGACCCAGGCCCAGTCCTCCTCCTTCAGTCATGGCAGTCCTCCCCAGCCCTCCTCCTGCAGATGTGGAGGTCCTCCCCAACCCTCCTCCTGCAGATGTGGAGGTCCTCCCCAACCCTCCTCCTGCAAATGTGGAGGTCCTCCCCAACCCTCCTCTTGCAGATGTGGGCGTCCTCCCCAACCCTCCTCCTGCAGATGTGGGGG